GAAAAGGTAGAGCTCAATAAAAATCAGTAATAATAATAATAAAAATCTCATTACGTAACTTAGTTTCAGAGCCATAAACCGTGTGTTCTGTTTGCAAGTCACCTTCCATGGTATAGAGAGTGCCACTGGCTTTTTCTGCAGCTTGCGGATCTCTCAACTCACCCTCAAGATTGAAAGGAGCTGACGTGATTGTGAATACGGCAGCTCAAGAGTTTCATATTAACTAATGTTTAGGACCCCAAGGCAGATGGTGATATCTTTTCATGTTAACTCCTATTTCTAAAATTACTTGGGGGGGGGGTGTGAAACAGTTAAGAGAAAGCCAACTTCCCTCAAATTTGACTTGGTAGTAAATTCAATAAATACTTTTCCAAATCATCTTACGCTGTACTTCCAGTCAGGGTTTTAGATGTAGAATAAGCTTTTGGAGTCTTGGGTCCTTAGCTAAACCTGCACTTAGCTTCAGACTGCTTACAGTTCAATCATGTTTAATAGGCCCCAGGCCCATTAAATATAATTGTAACCATCAGCCTGTGCTTAACAGTAAGTGGAAAAGAATGGATGCCACAGACCTTAATATTCACAAAGCCTGGTCTAACTGGCTTTTTACTGGAAGACCATGTCCAGCTCTGGGCTCAAAATGTGGAGATTGAGGAGAATTTGGAAAGAGTTCACTAAAGCCCTTAGTGGTTCAGGGAAATGGATTTTGGATGTAGAAAATAACAATAAGGAATAGTTTTATATATTTAAATAGGTGAAAGCAACTTGTATTGAAAAGAATAAGTGAAGATTTATTGTCAGTGAGAGAAATTACATCCAACTTTGGCATAGGAAACTATTTTTTTTTAACCTCGAAAATTATTAGGCTTGAATCTGAAATCCAGATATAATTGTGTAGTTTTCTCTGAGGTGCATAAAGTGGAGCCCGTCTCGGGGAGCTGAGATGATTTATGTCCTTCTGTAATGGGAGGTGAAGCTAGAGGCATTTTCTCGGTTTCTCTTTTCCTCACTCTCAAATTCTAATTCTGTGTATTAATCAGTTTTCTGTTGCTGTGAGGAGAGATTCATTTTCATCCAGAGCTTTAACATGATTGCCCCGCCTTCTTGTTTTGAGCCTCTGTTGCCGTAAGACATCATAGTAAGGACTTGTCATTGTCCCTTACCCTGCTTCCGTCCAGGAGACCCCACTTTCAAAATATTCCACCATATCTCAGCGGCGCCACAGGCTAATGGTCAAGATTTGAGTATGTTAGGCCATTTAGGGACATTTAACATCCAAATCATAACATTCCCATAGCCAAAAATTTACACAGTCTTATGTCTGTTTAAAGGCAAGAAATGTTCAAGAAAAATCCACATATGAGATGGAATCAACTTAAAAAAAGCCAGCTGTCAATCATTGCCGCTTTACGATGCTTTGTGTGTGGATCCAGATAAGGCTATAAGGACCGTACCAGCTGACCGCAGATTACAGAAGAGTAAATGCTAACTGCTTTTGCTGTAAGAACAGATAGTGAGACCCTAAGATACAACTTCAGAGAGTCTGCTGAGCTTGAACAGAAGAGGAACAGAAACTATAGAAAGAGAAGCACTTTTTTCCAAACGGAGTTTCTGGCCTGAGACGACAGGGAAAGGCAACATTTGTCCTTGATGATTCCCTAAGCCCAGATCTTACGCTTCTGGTATCTTGTTACTACCTCCTGACTGGTCAGATATTTCTGGAAGCAAGCACTTTGGATTTTTCCTTTTCTACAATAAAGACACATTTACTATGAGCCTGTCTTATTCCTGAGATTTTGAGTTATTTGCTGATCAATGTCAAAGGGTAATATAGCCTTAATAGCTGTGTGCCTATTTCATGGAGTTTCTACTGGGGGCAAGTCTAGCTTATTTGTTAGGGAAGAACGGAAGGTATAGTGTGCTGCCCTGGCGGTTAGAACATCACATGCAAAGCAGGGAGCAAAGGCAACAACTGGGCCGACACCCAGTTAAAATATCATACTCTCTACTCCTCCGTTCTGATGAAGGTTGGTATGAAAAACAAACATGTATGCAGAAATCTAAAATTAAGCTATTTTTTAAATACTCTTTCATAAGTTACTAATTGTGCTAATACCTAAATGGTAAATAATAATAGCAAGAGAAAACTTTGCCTTTTATTTAATCCCGGTTGCAAGTCAATAACGTCACATTGTTAAAAGTTTTGTTCTGGTCTTAAAGGCAACTTTTTCTTACTATAACCCAGGCTGGCCAGGTACACCTTACATAGCTAAAGATAGCAGTGACTTGAGGCAATCCTATCTCAGCCACTTAAGTGCTAGGATTTCCACACCCAGATAAGATAGCTATAGATAATAAAGAATTTAACTTTCTTTGCTTTATTTATTTACCATAAGGAAACCTTTTAAGAGATTTGAATCTTAAGCAGTACTAATGGTATATGATCTATGACTCTCCAAAGATTTCCTGGGCTGCTTCAGTAAATTGAGAATGGTTAAGTCCCTCCCCCGATCCCCGTATTTAAAGTTGCACCATTTCTTGTTTGCTAAAGATCACTGCGCTTGAGGGCCAGAGAAGCTGCTGCTTTGCAAAGGTAGAAGCTCTTAGGAAATGCTTTGCAAGCAGCCAGATATGTGTAACTAAGAACTGTTGCCTAAGACAGAAATTCTCAGGGAAGATGTGAGCAGTAAACTTGTGTGCTTGTTGTAATGAATCTTAAGTATGGCATACAAACTATGAGTTCTAGAATAGATCAGTTAACAGTGATCCTTAATATTTGTTTTGCAGTTTTTAATGTACATCCATGTAAAGTCATCTGGCCATTAAAAGAGCTTGTGGAGTAGAAGAAATGGGCATTATCATATCTGTCTGATACATGATAAAATAAAGCTTGGAGATGTCCTTACCCAATTTTATAAAACTAATAAAGACCAGTAGTCAAGTTTGCTTACATTTCATCATCTGTCTGGGGAATCTTACTTCAAGTTCTTTCCTCAGTACGTACAGATATTGGATTAAATCAATTCTACTAGGAAGTCTTAGATCTAAGGCTTTTGCTGCAGAATCTATCACCCACTCCAAACATGGTTCACATACACGCTGATGCCAGTACTACCCACAGCCAGGCTTTCCACAAAGAAGGATGAAGATACAGGTAGATAATGTCTCCAAGATGAGACAGCTCCGTGTTAGTATCTGCTCACAGCTAGTGTCTCTCCATTGGCACTCACAACCACAAAGAGGGCAAGGTCAACAAGGGAGATAGGGAATTGCTGGTTGGAACGTCTCCTAAGAGCAAGCTTACTGGGTCAGAACAAAGTCCTCCCCTGAGCTAACAAATACCGTTCTTCACCTGCTGAAGTAAGCACTTCAGACTAAGTCACATAAATGCTGGCCTTGCCCTCTTGTAAGAACTGAACGAAGTCTGTTCTGTGCAAGGGAAAACCAATGCTCATGGCAAATGTCAGGCTATAGGGAAACCGTGAGCACTGGGGTCAGAACTGCCTGAGTTTGTCTTTGAGGCTCGCCATTCCTAGTGGAACAATGTTACAAAAGCAACTTCACCTCTCTCACATCTCCTATTATGTAAAATGCTTCCTAGCTAGCGTTCAAGACTTATCAGTTGCTGTGCGGGGTTTTAAATGAGAGCTACAAAGGCCAGTAGCATGACCTTACTATGTATAGATGGTAAGAACAGCTAAAGAACTCCGATAGCTAATCTCTAGTGGTTCGAAGGATACCTACAAGCCAAGCTGGACATTATTCTATTAGGAGGCAAATCCCGGGGTATTATGGAAATGTTCTCTATTATGAATAAGGTATGGATTAAAAATTGCTGTAATATCACTTAAACATTGAAAAGATTTAGTCATCGAATTTACATGTAAATTTGTAAGCTATAAACATGCCCATACACATCATTTGAACCTCTTATCCACTTACATGTAAGTTACCACTCACTAACTGAGGTGATTTTAAGATGCCATGCATTCGGTGGCTAAGGACCAAACTAATAACGCTTTGTTCTCAGCGGAAACAACTTACTTGTTTCCATTGATCTGCTAATTTCCCTGTATGTAGGCATAATAATAAATATTCTAGGAGAATTTTTCTTTGCTTTTGTGTGTTTCTCTAATTAGGAAGATTCCAGAAAAGTCAAGGACTATTTTATTGTGCCATTCCTAGAGCAAATCATTCAGGATTTATGAACAGACATACTTTCCAATATTCAAACTTACTTAGGCCTCCCTTGTTTATAGCAACAATCAAACAAACGAACAAGCGAACAACCGCAACAACAACAACAAAAACCAATGTGATCTGCTGGGTTACAAATTAATGACCTTTCCCGGTCTGATTATATTTCCAGGGGCTGCCAATAAATATAAGAGGAAAGTCACTCCGCACAGTAAGTGAACTTTCTGTTTGTGTATCGCAGATCATAGCCCTTTATCAAAACTAATAATGCAGTTTTACTTTTTACAGGAAATGGAAACTAAAACCTCTACAAATGGATGCAAGCATCCAGAATGGCTCTCAAATGGGCAGTGCTGAAACCTGATCCGGCTGCTTGTCAATTGCATCATTCAGAGATGACATCAGCAGCAAGGCTGCAGCCAATGCTGGCACGTCACCCTTCCCGTACCACAAATAAAATCACACTCTGCAAAAATATAATCACCTCCAAGGCTGCAACTTGAACCTTGAAACCTAATTAAGCAACTTTTTATCAGCTCTATTGATAAGACCTGGATCAGGTTCCATATAAACTCGCAGCGACCAATGCTGATAAAACATGTTGTTACCAGTGTATCATTCTAGAAGAAAGGTAGGCTGATGATGGAGACAGTACTTACATTATTTATTTCTGATTTTGTTTATGATCCCTTTTATCTAACTGCAACCCTAAGCTGGAACTTATCACCAGGGCCATGCCCTTTGGTCCTCCTTAGACCGTCCTGTTCCATCTCATCAATAGTAAAGATATGGCGCCTCTTTACCTGGGGGATTATGTTCATTGAGTATCACAAGGGATGCTGGTGTGGGTCTTCTTTTCCTGATCTGTGGACAACAAAGGCACAGCTGATATCAATGTGAGAATCAGACCCTCCTCTTCATTGACTCTACAGCATGCAAGCCTACCTGCCCTCCTCTTTTCCCAGCACACGTGAAGGAACTTCTAGAAAGAACACAGCATACACTCACTATATATTTTAGAGCATAGTAAGCAAGCTAGAACTGCCAGATATTACTAACACCTTTTTTGACCAAGAAGTTACATTTTCAAAGGAAAAAATAATAATAATAGTTGTATATCATAAAACTATGCAACTGAGGTTAATATATTGTAAAGTACAGAGGTGACTTACTATTTAAGTGACTGGTAAAGCTCCATGACAAGGGCAATGACATCATGATCCCTTGCTCTTATCTAAATGAGGCAAAAGAAACTCAGAAGCCTCAAATTTCTCTTACGTGCTATAATTAAATTGACAATGTAAGTTTTAGATTTCAATTTGTCTGATTAACTTTCTACTTTCTAACTTAATATCTAGATCAAGTTGGCAGGTCAACCAAAAATAAGAATCTCATAAGAATGTGTGTTTAAATTCCTTTAGGCAGTGCTAATTGGAATCAGTGGGTTAGAAAGAATAAAAGGGAGAGAATACGAAAGCGAGAGGGCGTGTGAGTGGGTGTTAAAGAAACGGGAGGGGAGAGCTGAGGTAGATATGGCTAAGATATACCATATATTGTGAGATATTGTAGATAAATAAGTAAAAGTTACTAAAAAAGTAACTCAATTGAAACTAAGAGCAGGCGGATTTACCAGCTTGTCATAGGAATCACAGGAACAGAGTCTGACCCTCTTGCTTCAGGTTGTCTTTATCCATGCAGTGTGAGCCCATGGCTAAATTCCCAGAATACTTGTCAGTAGGATAAAAGAGAAAGGATACAAATGGTGCTGTTCAAGATGGAAGCCATGTTCAGTTCAGTAAACAGATCTGGCCCAGGTTATGTGTATCTGGTCTAAATCTGGGTGGGTCTATTGTGGAGGCATCTTATAAAGTCAGACTCCCAGTACATAGTGTAAGACTTTGTACCAACTATTTGGGAGAGGATTCAGGGGTCCTCTGGGTCCTAAGTGACTAATGAATTAGATTGGCGTCCCCATTATTTCTTTGCTCTCCCCGCCAGTCTCCACACTTTGTTTCTTGGCCACTGAATATCTTTTAAGTGGGTCCATTGCACCCAGTGTCTAAGTAAACATGAACATGATACAGCTAGAAACCAATGTCAGACATAAAAAAAGGAACCTAGGAAAAAGTAATAGAGCATTTTTCATACCCATGGCTCATATAGAACGCACAACTATGGCTAGGGATACACAATAAAAACTCATAAAAATGCAGCCTGCAATATTAAACTAATCTAGGATTTACTACTTTAATTTCTACATTACTTCTTATTTTCTAAGTAACAAAATAAAAGAGTGCTAATTTTTGGCAATGTTTTCAAAGTTTCTCTAAATGTTGAAACTGTTACTTTAAGAAGAAAAGCCCAGGACATTGCTTCAGACCAGAATGTCTAACAAATGGATGTTTATTTTATATAGAATGAAGTGATGCTAAAATCTTAGCCAGTCATTCCCCCAGCACAACCCAAACACAAGTACAAAAGCAGACCCACTTCCTCTCTCTGAAAGTCACAAAATCAGCAAATGCAAAAAGCAGAGACCCTTTCACCTAGTAAGAACGCATGCCCTTCCTGCCCATCATCCTGGAACCGCTCCGGGTCCACTCCCCCTTACCTGTTCGGCTGCCTCTGGAGCGATCTGACTCTGGAATAAAGGCACAGCAAATTGTATCTTTTTGGGGCTGTTGGGCTCCATGTTAGCGATGAGAATAAGACAGAGCGGTGAAGCACTCACAAAGACAAACCCAAGTGGTGTCTGGAGTGTTCCTGAGGCACGCCGCTTCACCTAGCCCCACACACGGTGCTTTGTAACAAATCTCTGTAATTCCAGCCTGCGCAAGTGAAGATGCCGAGGTTTGAGCAACTCCCTTCTTCAGTATCCAGTGATGCCTGCCTTGCCTGATCCCCCACCAATCTTCTGAATCCTCTCAACACAATTGGGAAAGGAAGAATAAGCTAATTGTGTCCCTGCTCACTAATACACATGCCAAGCTTTCACTCAGCGGCTAATTGAAATTGCAGTGCTAGCCTTGAAGGCCCCGCTGCCCTGGGATTTAAAAGAGAGGCTCTATCCACTGTACATTACTCACCGGCCGCTCAAAAGTGCAGCCTAAGCTCCCTGGAGCATTGCAGGGATGGGTCATCCATTATTGATTAACATAAAGCAGGAAGTTTTTAGAGCTGGGGGCAGGGCCTGGCTCTAGAATCATGTCATTTCTTTGTAGCAACTTACGAGTCAGACACCTTTGCTACTTCACACTCGACCACCACATCGATGAATGGCTATCAACAATAAACCACAGCCAATAAAATCAGCTATATTTGCACTTCAAGATCTGGTTAGGCTAGCCCTGCCCCAGGGCTGAGCAGATCTTAGTTCAAGTTCCACTGTTAATCAGCACTGTGGCCTGGAGGAAATCCCAGCATATGTCTGGGCCCCCACACTTTCAGTGGGAAAATGGGCGGGAGGGAGTTAGATTAGATGACCTTTATGGTCCCATCCTGTTCTAACATACCGTAATTAGAGTTCATGGTTTAAATTTGAGTAGAAAGCATTGGGCAGCTAAATTTAGCAAACAGCTTGAAAGTCACTGCTATTTCAGTGGCCTTTATTTTGTTTCTGAAGGAGCCAGTTACATCCTCTTTCTTGGAAGAATCCAGAAATGAGTGGAAAACATTAGTGAAAAGCCAGTCGTGTCTGACACCATGGCTTGTTGTCAATTATGGGGCTGTATGCAAAGATGAAAATTTGAGGAACAGTCTAAAAAGGATCACTTTCAGAAAGATGATGTGTCAAGTGACTATGGTCACAGAAGACACTGACTTGGTCATCTCGGAAATTCAGTAATATCAAACAGTAGGCAGCCATATCACCAGAACCAGTTTGGCTTCACAGAATTCACTCTTTTCTGTTTGTTTTATTTTTTTCCCTCTGTTTTGCTTTTGTTGTTGTTGTTTGTTTTTCGAGACAGGGTTTTTTCTGTGAAAACAGTCCTGGTTGACTTGGAACTCACTATGTAGACCACACTGACCTCGACCTCACAGAGATCCATTTGCCTCTGCCTCCCGAGTGCTGGGATTAAAGGTGTGTGCCACCACTGCCGGGCAATCCACTGCTTACTGAAGAAAGCCTGGAAATGAGCTGGCCTCAATGGAAAGAGGAACTTCAGTTCTTTACTTCTCTGTTTGGAAGGTGTGATTTGGTGACTACTACCTTTAAGAATGTAGCTTTTAGATCCATCAAATGCATTTTGATACTGTATAAAAGTGTAGGTATTTATAAGTGAAGTTTCCTTTATTTTGAAGGTCTGCTTTCTTTCTTTCTTTCTTTCTTTCTTTCTTTCTTTCTTTCTTTCTTTTCTTTTCTTTCTTTCTTCCAGAAACCAAAACATTTATTTTATGACAGATTGAAATCCTCAAGATGAACTGGATGCTGCAACAGCTGCCCTCTTGGGTTTAGGGGTTGTCCCTTCACGGAATCCATGTCTGAATATTCGGTAGGCAATTTTTAGGTACCTCATCTGCCCAGTCCCGGTAGTGTTTCGTCTCTTAGCCTTGGCACTCCAGTTATACTTTCTCTTGCGCTTGGCGGGGTAGCCGCATTTGCCACAGGTAGACTTCTGAAGGTGGTAGGCCTTAGAGCCACAGCGGCGGCACAACGTGTGTGCCTTGTTGCTACGCTTCCCGAAGCCGCCGCCGCCGAGGCCAAAGAGACCGGAAGAGAAAGCACTTCCGCTACCTCCTGTGGATAAGCTTCCGCCCGGCAAACTCTGAAGGTCTATTTTCTAAAACAGAAACACATATCAATGATTTAATCATACAGCTGTTCTGTAAAGTGTATAAGAAGTAGTGTGCATTATTCAAGTCGCTTCCTATATGCGCTAGAGGAAAAGCAAATGGAAATACCGATGGGAAAGTAATTTTAAAGGGGAAAATGCTGACAGCAAGAAATCTTGTAAAGGATTCATCTCCCGGAGGAGAAAGGAAACTCACCATTCAAAAGAGCCTATGGCAGAAGTTACAGAAGACCGTACAAGGAAACCTTTGTAGATCAATACCATTACTGAAGTCACCTCTCTGAGTATCACTTTAGAGCCTGTGGAAAAGCAGACAGCCTTTTTAGTGAGGAATGAGTCCAGAACTTGCTTGGCAATCATCGAGAACTTGTACTTGGCAGCCCAAAACCCGCAGCCTTACTGCCACTTACCAAGATGAACAACGCAGCCCTTGAGAGAACTTTTTTTCTGTGAAGTTCAGATGAGCACAGTCCTAAGAGGAGATGTTCATAACATCAGGCTCTCGCCACTCTGTAGCAGATAGCAATTATCTGCTTACTAGATTGTTCAAAGTGCTCAATGATACATGTTTTTAGCATGACGTATTAAGAATCTCTTCCTACTGGAAAATTTAATGCCAATAAGAGGAACAGATGATTAAGTGAAATTCTATGTGTGTATTATAGGATGAAGACCAGAAAGTGTGCATGCATGCTCATATGTATTTGAGCACTGTGTGTGTGTGTGTGTGTGTGTGTGTGTGTACAAATGTGTGCACAATATGGGACGCAAGATGGCACTGGGTGTCTGCCTTAACCACAATTCACTTTATACATTGAGGCAGTCTCCCATGTGAGCCTGGACCGGTATGCTCCAGCTAGTCTAACTAGCCAGCCTATTCCAAGGATTCCTGTCTTTGCACCCCACAGTCTGAGAACACAGGTCCGCACCGCGCCCACAAAGACACATGGGAGATAGAGATCTGAACTCTTGTCCTCGGGATTGCTCAGCAAGTGCTTTACCTTGAAGAGCCATCTGCTCAGGTTTAATGCCCCTTTTAATTAATAGTTTGACCAGAGATAGTACCTACAGAAACTTCCTGAACCTTTCATGATTTTTCTTCTTCATCAGTGTGACCAGCTTCTGGGTGCTTGTCGGGATTCAGTAGTGTGGCCTTGCTTTTAGGAAAATGATATAGATTTGTCTCCACCCAAACGGGCTGTTGGGGCACAGGAAAAGGAGTCCAACAATCTCTGCTGCCAACAGAGAGCACAGTGTACCTCCACTTAGCACAATAGCTACCTGTCTCTCTCTTAATTATTTAACATCTTAAAAACCTCTTCACACAGCAATTCAACACACGTACGGTCAGGCTTTATGCTATGGCCTTAGAGGAGACACTGTGCTAAAAGTCTCATCTGAAATTCTTTTAAAGCTAAATTGTTAGTCCTGGAGACATGCCTAAGCAGGTATAAGATATTAGAATTGGGTTCTAGTACCAATATGGGGACTTCTAATAACCTGTAACTCCAGTTCCTGAGGGCCCCATGCCCTCTTCAAGCCTCTGAGAGTACTGCAGGTTTGTGGTGCACAGATCCACATGTAGGCAAAACACCCATACATATAAAATAAAAATAAATAAATGTTTAAAGCTAAATTGTTAACCTAAGAATCATATGATCTTACTAAATCTAAAGCAATTGAAAAAAATAAACACTATGACATTTACCCTCACAAACCAGAGTCTCTGATGATATGAAATGGTTAGGTATACATTCATTTGTTGAGATAATAATGATGATGATAATGACAATAGCAATGGCTACCCTTGTGTGGCTGGTTCTTTATCCATGTAGCATTCTACGTGCTATTCCTGTATTAACACTGGCAATGCCCACTTACAGTTTGCCCTGTTGCCATCTTGGCCTCTCACTTCGAATGAGAACATTGGGAAGCAAAGCGTGTAGGTGATCTGCTTAAATTCTCCCAGTTAACGAGTGGCAGACCCGTTTCCAACCCAGGCACTGGCTTTTTATCACAAAGCTGCAGCTATTCTAATGCACAGGCCTTTGAAACAGTTGTTGGAAACCCCCAGAATCTCCACAGCCAGCTTGCATTCTAATTCATAAACTCCATGGCGTGTGAGCTAAGAAAAGAAAGCGGCATGATTGCAGGATATTGATCGTCATGACAATCATCTAGAGAGTTGGGCACTGAGCTCCAAGCTGGCTTGGAGGTAAATTTTATTCTTTCTCTTTTAAAATAGAGACAGATTCTATGAATAGATTTATAAAAAATGTCTAATATAATAAAAAAACCTATATTGTCTTTTCCAAGTAACAATTACTGTGCACACAAACAGAAAATGAAACACGGGTCTTACTCGCTTTACTTCGTGTTATCGTATCCTGTTTTCTCTGGTTCTTTAAGATCTTCATACTAGCTATATCACTGGTCCTTACATGCCCTCCCCTCTTGCTGGAAGGTGTCCTACCCTGCCAGCTTTATTTGTATCAAATTAGATTTATCCTCTAATTCTACCTATTTAGAAAGGGCTCTTCAGAATCACAAAATGAAAGGAACCCCTCAGTTTACTTTCTCTCCTAGTATCTAATTGTGTCCATTTTATGACCAGTTTATGTTACTGTACGCTTTTCCCCCTCATATTATAAATACTATGCTTATATATAAACACAATCAAGATGTCGTTTCCTCATTACATAAGATCAGTTAGACTCCATCTTTATTGTAACGTAGGTAAATATAAAAGACTTCAATAAAATAAATTTTCCCAAAGACTTCAGTCCTTATTTTAAGTACTGGGTTACCTCGCTCAAAATGATTTTTTCTAGATCCACCCATTTGCCTGCAAATTTCAAGATGTCATTATTTTTTTTTGTTGTGTAGTACTCCATTGTGTAAATGTACCACATTTTCCTTATTCATGAAGGGTATTTGGGTTGTTTCCAGGTTCTGCTATGACAAACAGTGCTGCTGTGAACATAGCCGAGCACACATTCTTGAGGTATAATGAACATCCTTTGGGTATATACCCAAAAGTGGTATTGCTGGGTCTTGAGATAGGTTGTTTCCTAATTCTTCTACTCAGAAGATATTCTGAAAATATCACCATACGTCAGCTAGTGACTTTGACAAGCTGAGCCATACGATAGTAACCCCAATAAAGAAAGACTTCAAAGACCACGCCTTGTTAAGTTGTTCTCTGTCTCAGATATATTTCAAAAAATCTAAAGTAGACAAAACATCATAGGAAAAATGAAAAGGACAGTAATTAATGTCCCAGCTAATATACTATCTCCAGATCAGTTTCTCAAAGAATTCCCTCAAATCCCTGTACCTCCTTTATTCCAGGTAAGACTTCTGACTCATTGTTTGTGGACACAGTTTTGTAATCCATTTAAAGTCAGGTACCGCTTATGCCGTATGACAGATGCCTGGCACAATATGACAGCCATCAAACTTTTGAGAGGCTTTTAAGCCATTTCATTAATTTTTGCAGGTATCGGTAAAAGCATTTCTGGATCCATCTTCAGACAAGAATGTTTTAAATGATTTAAGAAGACAGAAAAGCACTGCACTCCTAATAAGGTGAAGAATGTTTTTAAAAATATATTTCACATTTTAGTGTGTGTGTGTGCAAATTTGTTTGTATTTTTATACTTTATAATTTTTGAAATTATAATTACATCACTTTCTCCCTTAAGTTTCATCGCTCAAAACCCAATGACGCACATCCTCTTGCTCTCTCTCAAATTTGTGGCTTTTCTTCAATTGCTGACATTATGCATGTATGTGTGTATATATGTATGTGTATAATATATATGTATATATATATTGAGAAAATTATGAATTTACAAATAAATTATTTGTATATTCTTAAATACAACTCACTTGATTTATAGGTTACCTGTATGTCTTTTTAAATTATCATTATTAAGCATTCTTCTATGTGGCTCAGTTCATTTACTTCCACATCTGCTTTGTGCAGGATAGATCCTCCCTCTTGTAACTGTATTTAAACCAATGAGTCCTTTTATGGTGACAAGACCAAACCAAAAGTCAGGACTCTGGAAAAGCCACAAGTTCGGTGCTGAGAGGGAGATAATAAAGGGAGGAAACAGATTACTGTCTAGAATGCATGGTATTCTTGCATGGGATGGTTAAAGAACTAACTTCATTAACAAATAGGAACATTGCCAGTAATGAATACATATCATTTTGTTCCATAAAATAATTTTTCAAGTATATTTCAAAACTTTGTTTTTGTTATAAAATGTTGAATGGTTAAAACATGGCTGCAACTTTTGGCTTCATGTTGCCATTCAGCAGTTTCTATAAATGGCTATGTGTCTGTGTTTCCATAGGCCAGGCAGGTTTGTTCACATCTACAAGTGAGCTTAAGTAACGGAATGCTAACAAGTAGAATAATTTACTGATTAGGATGACTCATCAGCAAATGTCTTCCTGGGTAAAGACATGAAACCAGTATTGGATATCTGAGAACGTTTGCCTGTTTCTAGTCCAGTTGGCTTATCATGACTCTGGTCTGGCCGATAAGCCAAGATCACACTTACTTCCCAGCAACCTGCTATCAGGATCCCTAGTGGCATCCCATAATGTCTGCCATGATATTTTAAAATATTCATTCCTTTATGATTTTTTCCATCCACCTAATTTTAAGATGTCCAAATTAACATGTGACTCATTGTACCCTTATATAATATATGCATGAAGCTCTTGGAAGCAAAGACAACTTCTCAATGTAGAAACAGTAGGAAACTTCTAACAGGTCAGAATATGCTGAGCCTTCATTTCCAGGAGTGAGTCACGAGGCGAAAGAGCTGGGAGGTGCAGGTACCTAAGAAAACACAATTAGGAAATCAGCAGACATTCTCCCCTGACGCTTTGGAGAAAATGAAGATAAAATTTTGTTTTGTAGGTGCATCTCAGATCATGCACCCCTCATCCATTACTGAACTCGGTTTTGAGTAACTCAAGGTATTTCACAATTCTGTAACACTGAGACATTTGTTTGGAGAATCCTGTATCGCTCCTCTCAGCAATCCACCACGCGCCTCTCCTTTTAGGCCTGGGTTCAGGTGTTCCTTCTTCTATACTGCAGTCTCAGAATTCCCCAACTGGTTTGTCTGGTTGTCTTCTAAGCATTCCCCACACTTTGCCCATAAATGTTTCTGTTTGTTTTGTTTTGCTTTTCCCAGTTGAAAAGTAATTTGGGGGCAGGAGCTATAACTTAGTCAATAAAACTCTTGGCTTGTGAGTGTAAGGACCTGAGTCTGCATGCTCAGGCCCTGAAGAAAAACGTGGACCCAGCTCTGCACACTAGTGACCCCAGTGTTGGT